TTATGTGGATTACTTTATGAGACACTGTATAAAATTGTTTTCTTATTGAAATATTTCTTATTTCTACCTAAAATGAAATCATACGACATTTTTAGATATATGTAACAATTATAATAAATTAATCAACTTTTTAATTCCACGAAAAATAATGATGCTATAAACTACATAAAATGTGGGAACGAAATGAAGTTCGATTGAGAAAATTTAATATTTTTGTACCACGCAATATCTTATATTACAAATTGAAATAAAAAAAAAACGTGTTAAAATACGATATAATCTAAAAATTGGTGCGAACTCCTAATTTGAACAGTCATACTATCTAAAATATTTGCTACTTTATCGGATATTACTTTATGCTGAGACAAGGTTTTTTTACGAAATAAGTTAAATATTTCATCGGAAAGAAGTTGTCAACTAACTAAGAAATTGTGTTTTATGGATGGAGAAAAATTCAAAACTGAATTGGACGTGACAACTTGATAGTTGAAATTGTCGAGGCAAAGAATTTAAATTTTAATAAGGAACAAATGACTAAACGTTTTCGAGCCAATTTCGAACCAGATTACCTGAAACTTTTTTCCATTTAAGAGAAAATTATTCAAAAATGTCTGACGTTGTTGACAAGAGCCGTCAACAATATGTGGCAGCAACATTATGCATTATTGAATTTTTATTTCGATGAAAATATAATATGTCTTCAATTTTTTGACATAACGGTGGACATTCTTCCAATTTTCATTAATAATAACTGAAACTAAAGTTTAATATTATATATTTTTATACTAAATTTAATCCAAACTTGACCTAAATCTATTTTAAAACTGACTCAAACATAAAATCACTGAGAAAAACATTTTTGCCTATAACTTGGAAACTACAGCCGCGCGGCTATAAACTATATAAGGAAAAATCATTCAGAATCGTGTCCTCGACGACGTATTACCGGTTCACGAAAATCCATGAGGAATTGCTATAAATATAAATAATAAATAAATATAAATAATAGTAAGATTAATAATAAATAATAAATAAATATAAACATAAATAATAATAAATAAATTATTATATAAATAAATAATTAATTATCAAACGATTTACCTGTATTCGGCTGTTAAAAAACATTAAATTTAAGTTAAGAATAAAATCATTTTTTCAACCACGGTTTTATTGTCTACATTTTCACACGTAGCTTAGTAGAAATTCTCACACGTAGAGATTAAACGACAAATACGTTGGACAGTGAAAGAATTCATTAAAGTATGGATTTTTGTCGAAATGTAAAATATTGATATTAGTATTTTCCTAAAAATATTTTTTGTATTATACTTTTCAGTTTGATTTGGATCGTATTTCAGGTATTTCGCTACAGTTCTTCGTTTTTAAGGCTTTGTTTCATCTACAAAACGAGAAACTAATTGAAGAAGATCGAAAAAGTAAAATTGACGGTTTTTATTTTATTTTTGTTTTTATTTGTTTAGTTTTTGGTTTCATTTTTGTTACTTTTTAAGAAGAGAAACGTGAAATTGAGATATTTTTTTTATTTCGTAAAAACAAATAAAAACATGATACTTCTTTAGTTAATACGTAAATATTGCCTCCGGGAAAGTTCCAAATCTAAATGCACAAGCACGGAAGAGCTCTCCTCATCCCATAAAATATAATATAACGTAACCTATTATTTTACTAATATGGTATGTTGAATAGTTTAGCTTTGTTAAGTTAAACTTTGCAGACTAGGTTTGTTAGGACCTAAATTAAAGTAGGTTAGGTTATATTTTATGAGATTCATATATTCCTTAAATATTTAGCATAATTAAGCATAATCTAAAGGATTTTTGAAATATGTAAGGCTCTAGTTTCATTCTTTTTTTTTATTTAATAAATAGTAAAAATTATATTTTTATTATTATATTATATTAATTATATTTATTTTGTTATATTTATATTATATTTTATATATTATATATTATTATATTATATTATTTTATATTATATTAATTATATTTATTTTGTTAAATTTATTTATTTAATAAATAAATAAAAAATTATGATTTTCTTCGATTGAATTCTTTTTTTAGCGATAAAATAATTTCTAGAAAAACAGCTTTTTTTTTTTAAAAATTGTAATGAAGTGGCAAAGAATTATAATGTAATGAAAATTAGGACAAGTTGTTAAACTATTTATTTATCAAATAATTTTATGAGTATTTCGAAAACCGAAACCCAAAGGCAATTACATACGTGTATAAGAAAAAGATTCTGCGAATGTCCTTTGTAATAATATATTCAATGGTATGATGTGCCTTCTTTCACATACGAGAGAAAATAATCTTACCAATATATTTGGTAAATCATGCTGAATAAAAATGGTCATATTCACTATGGGCTATACTATATAGCCATTTTGATTCATTTGCTCTCTATTTATTTCAAAAAAATAGATTTTATACATGTAATTAAAATAGAGAAATAATTTTTTATTTTTCTTATGTTTCATTCATTTTTTTCCAGTTCATTTTTTTCTTATTTGAGTAAATTAAAAGTGTGTTCAAGGAAGTGTTCAAAATGATAATCTCTTCCTCTCGTGTGACAGCAACAATAATTCAGAAACACACGAAGACGCAATACGCAAATCCATTGAGGACATTAGAAATGAAATTAATAGAATGGATTGGCAATAATCATTAAAATTTTGAATAGATTTATATTTACAGAAGGAAAATCGTCATTTTCAATATCCTTTTCAATCTATACAAGTAAAAAAAGATGTAAAATGTATGAAAAATAAAAAATGATTTCTCTCTTTCAATTAAAAAATCTATTTTCTGAGATAAATAAAAAAAAAACAAATGAATCAAAATCCCTAGTGTACATGATCTTTTCCATTCAAAATAACATATGTTATATTATATTCTGAATGGAAAAGATCATGTAATATAAGAGATTATCATATATGGTAAAGTTATTACCTTATAATCTTCATATAAACATATAACTCGAAAATAGTTGTATGATACAAGTATAAATTATATCGATTATACTGAGACGAGTAAATATATTTGTTTATAATCGTAATAATGGTAAATATATTTATCGTTAATTCTTTTGATTCTTTTATTTTGTTACAATCTTCAAAAAGTTATAGCTAAAACTTAATAAATCACTATATATTAAATATTAATTAAATAAAATAAATTAATTAAAATTCAATAAAATTAATTAATTAAATACTAAACCGAGAGTAATTACCAATATTTTTCTGCATCAATATAGCGTATACATATATAATATATATATTTTCGGAAGCCAAAAAGAATACCAATTGTTGGAATATCGATTTCGTACATCAAGCGTTGCTTAAATAAACATACAGAACAAAAATAAATAAAGATTTCGAAATCAATGATCGTGATCAAAGAATGTGGTGTCGTCAATATAATGATCAAAAATTATACAATTATGTATTTTTTATGGTATTTTTGATTATATATTAATTGATTATTCTTAAATATATTGTTTTTAGTTATTGAGAAAGAGAAACATGTCTCAATCTTAAAAGTACCATATCTACAATAGTAAATTTCAGTATTACATTGATTTCACTATACGTGTCTATATAAATTTCTCGAATACTGATTTCAAAGTCGTACCAGTTTTAAGCTGAAGCAGTAATTGAAAAATAATCTCGTTGTGGCACGTTAAAGAGAAAATGTTGATAAACGAAATCTCGGTTCGTAGAAAATGATAGAGCGTCGTTCGTCTGATAAGTTTGCTCGTTCGCTCGTCTGGTTAGTACACCGTGTCGTTCGTCACCATGGATAGTGAAAGAGGAAGTATGATTTCACACCCATATGTAGGTGGGTGACCACGTCCTCAAAATAATAGCATCGTCGTTACGGATGATACGACACCCAAGGGGAAGCGGTTAGAGTTTGTCATTACGTAGCGCATTATGTCCGTACATCCGCTTTATAGACACAGCTCTCCCTGCATTTCAAAATTACACGAATAATTAAACTGCGCATCGGCACTTCCGCTGCAATGCGTTATAAACTTTCCTCGCGCGTGAAAACACCGAGACACATGCTCGAACCTAATTCCTCAACGTCTATCCACTTCTCGAATATACTTCCATTCCTTCGCGTCAGAGGTTTTAGGAACAGTCCTATATTTTCACGAATCCGATTTTTCCTCGTACTTACTTTCTATTGAAGATTTGAAGATTTGAATTCTCTTGAAACCCATAGACATTTTCAGTTTCCAATTGTATTTGACTTAACTTGATATTTGTTGTTGGCAACAATTCTAGATTCAAAATCAAGCTTGACTGCTTGACCGAAATTTTAACGATTTCTTGACGCAAATTGTCGTAATTTTGTAGGATGTTCAATTCGTTAGATTTCCAATGATTGCACCGCGCTAAACTTTGATGCAACTCGCACAAAATTTTTTTTTTTGCTGATCTATTCGTGTATAATGCACTGAAATAATAAACATATATGCATGATGATCATATCATCTCATCTTCGAGATAAATTATCGTAAAATATCTCCTTAATTATTAGGTTTAGGTTTAGAACTAATGTGGGTATACTTTTTTTATATTCTTTCGATTCATGATGAAAAAAAAATATATAGTTTAATTTAAAGAAATAGGGGTGACCTTGAAAATTTCGAAACCACTCAACACACACAAAAAATTGATACGCCATTTTGCCTCCCTTAAAATCATATAACTTTCGTATTAAACAGTTTTTCATTAGACGCGTAATTAAGGTTATTTCAAGTGTACAAGTTACGTGAATCATCTTATATATGATATCTTTAGTATATTCGTTTTAAAAGATGGTTAAATATTTTTACTAAAAAGAACTTAGAAAATAGATTTGAAAAAAAACTTTCTCAAGTATTACAAGCTCAAAGAATATCGTCATTGCCCCTAAGCTTATTTATACGTTACATACCACATATTATTAACGTTTTACTACCCTTGCTAGGTGAATCTGGTGGTTGTGGAATCACCGATGACGTGATGGAATGGATGGATAGAGTTCAAAATTCTGCCGAACCGGACGTTTCACGTCCGGTAACCGCAAATGAGAAGAAATTCAAGCCGCAGATGAAACCGTGGAACGGCGATCAAGAATCACCAGGTCACAAATATTCAAGAGAAGCTAACGAACCTAATCATCGGAGAACGCGGAGAGCAACCAGACCGAAAGAGGATAATAAAAACACTTGTTCCCTTTTTATTCAAACCGATCCACTTATATGGAGACATATATCGGAACAAGTAAGTTTAGAATATGTGTATATGAAAGTATCATCTTTATTTCAACGAGTTAACTTTGAAACTTGTTTGAAATTTGTTTTAACATTAGTTTCTAAGTTCATTCTAATCTTGAGAGGAAATAATCTGAAATGGAAATCCCATTTTTTTTTTATTCAAGGCAATAATAATCGACCTATATATAATCACACAACTCATTGTATAATCGTCAAATGCTCTACACACCTATCGTTCTCCTATTGTACTTACATTCACGAGACTATTTCTTCATATTTTATATCCTTAACCCTTGAGAAAATGTCTTCGTCTTTGCAGCCTCTTTAACCATTTGCGCTGACTGATTGCGGACCATAACGAGTGACCAAACCGTATACAATAATTCGTCGCTTTCTTTTTGAACTCGTTACTGGACAGAAATTATTGAGAAGCAATAGATTTATTATTTGTTTTGCCTGTGTATTTGTTATACTTAAATATATTTAAAGCTGAGAAAATATTGTAATTTTGGAACAAAAAATTCTCGTGCGTAATTCCAGCGCAAAAAGTTAACCGGACATTCTTTTCCGTACCATTGTAAAGATCTCTTAAAATTATTAAGAAGTAATAAATTTATTATTTGTTTTGCCTAGATTATATTTAAATATACTTAAAATTGAGAAAGTATTGCAATTTTGGGGCAAAATATTCTCAACGTGCAAGTGGTTAACATCTTGCGCGGGCAATCGATTGCGGACCATAACGAGTGACCAAACCGTATACAATAATTCGTCGTTTTCTTTTTGAACTGGTCACTATGATATCACTGGATAGAAATTATTGAGAAGTAATAAATTTATTATTTTGATTATATTTAAATATACTTAAAACTCAGAAAATACTGCAATTTTGGGACAGAGAATTCTCGACGTGCGTCGCACGTCATTCCAGCGCAAGAGGTTAATCGGACATTCTTTTCCGTGCCGTTGTAAAGATCTCTTAAAATTATTAAGAAGTAATAAATTTATTATTTGTTTTGCCTAGATTATATTTAAATATACTTAAAATTGAGAAAATACTGCAATTTTGGGATAAAAGATTCTCAACGTGCAAGTGGTTAACCTCTTGCGCGGGCAATCGATTGCGGACCATAACGAGTGACCAAACCGTATACAATAATTCGTCGTTTTCTTTTTGAACTGGTCACTATGATATCACTGGATAGAAATTATTGAGAAGTAATAAATTTATTATTTGTTTTGATTATATTTAAATATACTTAAAACTCAGAAAATACTGCAATTTTGGGGCAGAGAATTCTCGACGTGCGTCATTCCAACGCAAAAGGTTAATCGGACATTCTTTTCCGTGCTGTTGTAAAAATCTCTTTATACAAAAACTATTTGTCGGCAGGTAGCGTTAGCAAATGTCGAATAGTTGATTTTTTGACTGCTCTTTCAGTTGCATCACGATGCAGAGAAGACCAGAGAAGAGATACTGTCTCTGATCGCACACCACGTTACCGCTGTGAATTACATCTATAGAGACACTAGGTTCGATGGTAGAATCAAGCACAGAAATATTAAATTCGAGGTGCAACGGATAAAGGTGATTGAATTATTGGATAATTTTTGCGCACAACGGATACACGATCTGTCCGTTGCGTTAAATACGAATATTATTCTGTTATTAATAGATCGATGACGACACAGCGTGTACACCCCAACAAACGTACGGTGAACCAAATCCGTTCTGCATGGAGAACATCGACGTTAGCAACTTTTTAAATTTGCATTCGCTCGGCAACCACGAAGATTTTTGCCTCGCTTATGTGTTCACTTATAGGTACGAGAAGAACGAACCGTTTTAAAATATACATATCAAGTGCTATGCTATGAATACAGATTCACTGGTTTGTATTATTAACAGAGATTTTACTGGCGGTACACTCGGTCTTGCTTGGGTAGCTTCCGCATCGGGCGCATCCGGTGGCATTTGCGAAAGATACAAAACGTACACAGAAACTGTGGGAGGAATGTATCAATCCACCAAGAGATCCTTAAATACCGGAATCATTACTTTTGTTAATTACAATAGCAGAGTGCCACCAAAAGTGTCACAGCTGACGTTGGCCCATGAAATAGGACATAATTTTGGATCACCTGTAAGAATTTATCGTAAAAAAACTAATCATTTGTTTTTACAATTTTTATTTTAATCACACTTTTTCTTTTTTTTTTTCAGCACGATTTTCCACCGGAATGTAGACCCGGTGGATTGCACGGAAATTACATTATGTTTGCGTCAGCGACGAGCGGAGATCGACCGAATAATAGTAAATTTTCGAAATGCAGCATTGGCAATATCAGCAATGTCCTAGATGCTATAGAAGACAACAAGAAAAGAAATTGTTTTACCGGTATATATGATGTTAATGGAGATAAAATATGCTTTTATGCTTATATTGCACATAACTGTAAATGTTATTTTATTTTTGTGTAGCTTCTGCTGGTGCATTCTGCGGCAACAAGATCGTCGAGGCTGGAGAAGAATGCGATTGTGGATATGACGACGATGAGTGTGTGGATAAGTGTTGCTATCCGAGGCAGGTGTCGGAGTTAGACAAGATAAAGAATGAAACAGCGAAAGGTTGTACCAGAAAGTCCGGTACACAATGCAGGTATATATTTTGCTGGAAATCTATGATGCCTACTTTGCGTAACTAGTCTCCTCACGAGTCCTTTTCTTACAGTCCTAGTCAAGGGCCTTGTTGCTCCAGCGAATCGTGTCAATTCGTTCCTCTCTCCAAAAATGTTCAATGTAAGGCTGAATCGGATTGTAGTTACAATTCAACTTGTAACGGACGATCCTCTGAGTGTCCTCCACCGTTGCCAAGGGCTAACAAAACTAGATGTAACGAAGGAACTCAGGTAAAGAAAAAAAGCTTTGAAATTTGTCTAGATATCTAGAATAGACATTTTGGAAATTATATTTATTTTGCAATTTTGTTCGCAGTTGTGTATCAATGGCGAGTGTACGGGATCGATTTGCCTCGAATGGAATCTAACTGAGTGCTTTTTGACTAGCAACGTAATTCCAAATATCGATAAACGTAAATTGTGTGAATTAGCTTGCCAAAATGGAACTGATCCATCGACCTGCCGTAGTACCAGCGAATTTGCACACGTTGTTGGTCTGCCCGAAGGTGGAATTAGCCTTCGACCTGGATCACCTTGTGATAACTTTCAAGTAATAACCTAATTATATATGTTATATTTCTATAAATTTATTATTTGTATACATATAATTAAAAGCAATCGTTCGCTTGTTTTAGGGATATTGTGATGTATTTTTGAAGTGTCGAGCGGTTGACGCGGAAGGACCATTAGCCAGATTAAAAAATCTTTTATTCAATAAGGACACATTGCGTACAGTAGCACAATGGATAACTGTAAATATAAATTTCATCTATTATAATATCTATTGATCTTCACTTCACAGGATTATACATGTTTATATTACTTTAGGAATTCTGGTGGGCAGTATTGTTAATGGGAATAGCCTTTATTATTTTCATGGGCTTATTCATCAAGTGCTGTGCCGTTCATACTCCTTCGAGTAATCCTAAGAAACCACCAGCGAGACGTATTAGCGATACTTTAAGAAGACCGATGAATACTCTAAGAAGAATGGTATAATGAAACAAAAAGAATAGAATGATAAAGTACAAGTCATTTTTGTCTAGCTTAAAACGAAAACTGGCGTAATTATATTTTATAGCGACATCCACATGGTGGAGGTGGGGCCGGTCCCAGAAGTATACCTCCCAGACAAAGTCAAGGAGGCCATGGTGCTACTCGCGGTCCCTCTCATGGTTACGGAGAGGGTAGAGGTGCTCAGTATTATCCAAAAGGTAAATCTACATGACAATTTCGATCGCTTTTCAATGCAGCTATCGTTGCTCGAGTTTGATCCTGATAAGTGTTGCTCATTAAAATACATACCATATGTTTGTATATTAGTTGGTAAAATACGGATTAAACTCAAGCTAAGAAGCTTGCTGTTATGTATTTGTCCCTGTGTGATCTGCAACTACATCAATGTTTTTTCCTGTTTGCATTTTCCTCGCATTGATTGACGCGCATCACTACCTGATACTATCGTTCTATGACCTACAGAGGTGAGCTGGGGCCTATACTCTATATCCTCGATAGGAGCAAATTCACGAATAGAAACTTGATAAGAGAAACATATTCTACAGACAAATGTCGGATGAGAACGATCGCTGATTATTCTCGATCGCTGTACATTCTTGTATTTGCTCCTAATCTTCTTTCATAACCATTCGACGAAAGCCATTGTTAAACTTTCATTCGATCGTTCACGTCGAAGTATTTAGTATTTTATTTCGCTTTCGCATCATTCGCATTAATTTCGATGATATTTCTGAGAAATATGGCTTTTGTGTGATTAGTGAATCTTGGTAGAAGTATCTTGGTAGTAACTGGAAAAGAAAAGCGCATGATAAATGTAGTTGTCATAAATTTTGCCATTTTTCCAATTGACAAAAATTGGATGTAGCAATAGTAACTGATTTCTTACCCTGGTTACAATCGTTGTTTCATTTGCTTCGATATTTCTTTTTCACGATCGAATACTTTTCTAAACCTTAAGCAGGCTATCGCTCGGTTCCCACAGCTAGTGCGCCACCCAGTAGCAGCGCAGCACCCAACTACGGCCGGTCCAACCACCCAGAACTGTACGCCGGCGCCTATTCGGGCTCCGGGGGAGGCGGCCGGTCCTCAGCCTACGAGATGAGGCATCACAACAAGGTGTGACGATCTTAGAGAATTACCACGGACGAGGAATAGTCTCGACGTTGCACCGTAAATTGTTCTCTTGTTTAATGCCAAACTGTGAGACGAGCCGATCCAGCCAACATGATATCTCTTGTAATCAAGATCGACGAGATCAATGGAAGAATACGAAAGCGTAATCGAGTGCATTTGAAAGTACCAACAATCGCCGATCTACGTTTTTATTTGGGTTCGAATAATTCGTGCAAGGGAACTGTAAAACTGGTTCGGAATTGTAAATTGACAAAGTGTATTATATAATCAATGGTGATATATTGAGACTTCTCGTTTGACGTTGAGTTTTTGTCGAGCTGATTTTTATCAGCAAGCGTACGAGAACATCAACATTTGCAGAAACGAAATGAACGATAGCGTTCGGACGTGATAGATCGTGAAACTGAGAAATCGTTAAAAGACTAATATTGTACGATTTTCTGTAATTCATCTTTTAAATGTTTCCTGCTGATTCCTCCGTGTTGCCATGAAATATTTTTCGCGTCTCGATCGAAATTACAAGGCTTTTTAACAATTCTGTCTGTTCACAAAAATTCATTGATATAAATGTCCCGATCGAACCTGTGGAAATTTATTTCTGTGGACAATGCTGGATTCAAACAGCAAATATCGCAGTAATACTGAACGCAACATATTTTTGTCGTTCGATATAAGAGAACATTTATGGCCAAGGTTGCATAGTAGCGTTTATGCCTCGATTTCTTGGTGAAGTCGAATTCTCGCGTGCTTTTCGCTTCGGAAAGCGTATTTTTATACATATATGGAGACTGCTGGTTAGAAGAGTAAGGGAAGTTCAAAGGGAGAACGGAGATGACAATATATATTTGGAATAAATGTTAGGATGATAACCCGTAATTTTTGAGAAGCTCCCATTGAACGTACCTTGTGCCTTTTAACTTATACGCGATTGTTACATACGTTATTCTATATTATAGTGCGATTTTAAAAGACAAACATTTTTTTTAATTTTAATGTTCTTCCAAATGGATGTTTTTTATTCAAAGCTTTTAATTATTAGCGTTTTATACAAATATAGGTAAAGATAATTAATAAGTAATGCCAAAATGTTTAATATGATTTCTCTTTGACGCATTTATACATAAGTTATTAGTCTATAAGATTATTTAATTTAAATCTAAAAGTATTTTTGTGATTGTACCATCGCTTTCCGCAGCGAACGAGCGCGTTTACCATTACCAAACTACTGCAGGTCATTCACTTGATCTCTACCATTGTAGTATAATAATTAATAATATGTAATATTCTTATACTAATTTTTATTAGCCAATTGAAACGAGCAAAGTTATAAGAGATTATGAACATGAAAGAAAAGTATCAACAAAAAAAAGTTTTATAGCTATATTTCATTAATAATTATTCTGATGAAAATGATATCAAACAATATCAATTCTTTTATAATTACACTAATTATTAATGATATTACTATGATATTATTCATGATTTATATTATTATTATTATTATTATGGCTATTACTATTATTAATTAGTTATCTATTGCAAATGATAATTTATCTCCGCTATCGCGAATGTTATAAGTTATATTTAAATATGATTTTTAATTTACAATTGTCGGGGGCTGTACCGTAAACGCGCTTTAATGATGCGCATACGGGACCAAAGACGAGCCCTCCTTTTGAAATATAAACGTGTTTTAACATACATGGGCTCAAGCAGCATATTCATACACTGCTGCATACTCGTATACCACAGAGAAAAAATTCGCCCGTGCCCAACGGCGAATCGTATTAAATCGTACACAATACATACACTTCCTTTTCTCGAAACGCCAAAATGTTATACGTGAACGACTGAATTTTTTTACTCGTCCCTTGTCGAACCTTCTTGCGCAAATATTATCTAGGTTTTCCATGAATTTCTACTCGAGGCAATAATCGAGCGTGCAAATATTTATCATCATTATCACTAGCGATATAATAATTGTTACTAACATCCCGATTTAGCGTTTTTTCTTTTATCTAATATTTTTGATGATATCTAGGCTTAGCAATATTTTCAGAATTAAACGTGTTCGCAATTTCTTCTCGTTCTGTATATTATAAGAAATGTCATTATATACCATTCAGCGTTATGGCAGCTAGTTTACACGATACAAAAAAGACATAGATTTTATTTAGGCGATGAGTCAAAAATTTAATATATAGCTATGCAAGACAGAAGGAACATTAACAGGGATGAAGATTAAAAAGAAGGAGGTGTCTGTCAAATATCGCAAAAAATACGAGTTTGCGGATCGTGTGGAAATGTACAATAGTCGCAATGTGATTATAAAAAAAAAAAGTGGATAATACGAAAGTTTGATGCAAAGTACGTGAGAAAGAGGAAAGGAACAAGAGTGCGAAGACAAGACATGGAAAGAGAATGGGCGCGAAAAAATAAAAGAGAGAGTGTTAAACTGTGTACATATATTGATATTTTATATATATATATATATATGTATATATACAATTATATATTTATTATGTATATTACATATATACATATATATATATATATATATATATATATATATATAGCCACACACACGCGTGCACACACGTACACACATACACACATATACGTTCACAAATGATAATTATGTAACCGGATGATAAAGCGAATACAAAAAAAAATACTTGTTTTTATATCAAATCTGTATTATAGCGAAATATTATCCTGTATTTTGTAATCGAGACGGAAGCTATAAGAAATGAGGAACGAATGCCTGTACGTGCGTCTAATCGAGCCCTTAGATTTTTAAGGTGATGACTTTTAATGACGATCCAACGTGGACCGGGATGGATCGTTTGACATAAATTATTTAAGAAGTTTCGAAGTTTCTTGCATATAGATGCAACGGGATTCCGTTTGGCCCCATTCGTAATCGCTCGTCCGATCGTTGTAAAAGTTAGTTCTTTTATTTTCTATATGGTTCGATAATAATAATAATTCATGGCAATCCATGAATTTGTGATTTACTGCCATTCCTAGTAATGCGTAGCAAAAGAGATCGAGTGAGTTTTCAAGGTATGAACGATAATGTTATAAATTTATTCGAAAACAAAAAAAGACATTGGGACTAATGTGATGTTAATATCATTCTTTCGATCGTATGTATTATAATATTATTAGATTTTTCGAAAATATCAGGTATCGACTGCCATTTAAATCAGTAACCACGGTGCGTAGAAAACAGATTTTACTCCGTAAACGAATCGATGTTTCAAATATCGTTTATTATTATTCTTGCTTCCATTTCACTGCCATAAAAACGGTTCAAATGACTGAATACAAGATCAAAATAAAAAAGGAAGAAAAAAGAAAATAGTGGCATTGTTTAGGAAAGAAAAGCCTAAGACGAGCGTAGAATGGGACCAAGTATTTTAGTATCTAGTTGACGAAAACGTTGCTTGCTTATCGAGAGAAGTATAAAGATTAAAAAGCAAAAGTACGTTTTCATTCATCATTTGTCTTCGAGAAGTCTCTACTACATTATGCTTTAAGCTCATTCGTTTCTGCGCTGTCTGGATTAAGATTGCGTTCTATTATTATCGTTGCTAATTAATAATTGTGCATCTCGCGATACCTTTCACGAAATATATTACAGAAACAGTTTCTGTGGGGCACGAGCAAAAACTCTGATTAAAAGAAAATTCGAATGTTTTGCAAAAATTAACATCCTCGAAGTACCTATCTTAATCCAGGCGTACGTCATTGTGACGCAATGCACACTACTTTATCACTTGTACATAATATTAGTAAGGAAGAAACAAAAAGAAATCGAAGATTATATTTTTTCTATTGATCTAAAAATGTGGTGACCTATCAACATCGTGCATCCAAAATTAGTTTCATCTATGTTAGTTTCATATCCGTTCTGATATGATTTTAGCTAATATAATATGTATGTACATACATATGTTGTCTCGTTTCACCAAGAATCAGTACGTTCTATGTAAAGAAAGTATTGCTTGGATATCACAAAATCACCAAGTTGCCTTTGTGTTTTATGTGCCGTAGTGTTTTATTTCATTTTTTAGTTCATACAAACAATTGTAAGCTCTAAGTTTGAATTGATATTTTGATATAAGTTCCATTAAGCATGATACTGACCAATCGCCTGAACGTTGCTTCAGACCACCACTCTCTCTTTTCCCCAATGTCTAGAACGTGGCGAGTGTTTTAAGAATATTATAAATAAAAGGAATCTGATTGTGAATCTTTTGTGTTATGTTAATGTGATTATAAAAAAAGAAAAGAACAAAAACATTGTAAAAAACTAAATAAAGCATACATTTTACATTTATACAATGGTATTTTCCACCTTATTATATTTATTAATATAATTAAGAATAATATCATAACTTCAGAAAAACGAATTTTCATATTATTATTTTCATTACATATACATAATATTATTTTTTACAAACAAACAATTGTGTGAGTAATTTAACATTTATCAGTTAAAAAATTGGTAAGGAGATTGAAAATTTTGATAAAAAATGGAAAAAATAATATTGGAGAGTTAGAAAAAAATTAAACATATAAGATTTATATATAAGATTTCATAAATTAATGTAATATTTTTAAAAAAATATTCAATTTTTTTTCTATCTATTATCTTTTATACCATATGAAAAGAAAAGGATTTTATGACACATTAGATACAATTAGATACAATTTATAGATACTTCTATTTATTTTATAAACTATTAAAAGTTACAATTGTACATTAGAAAATGTAAATTGAATGATACCTATTTTTACGATACGATATAATATTTATTTCGGTTCATAGATAGATAGCATTTTACAATTCACCTGTAATACAAAATGTTCCTTACATACGAATGACACATAATAGAATACCGAAAAAATGTAGTATTGTTTGTCATTGAATATTCTAAGCCAAGTATCAAATATGAAATGCATGATATTGTTCTATACAAAATGCATTGTTTTTACCCTGTTGTTCTCCACGAGTCTATAGGACAAAACTTGGATATTTTAGTATACATTATTATAATAAATATAGTTTTTACATATTTGTAAATATTCAATACTAATATATATTATTAATATTAATTATAATATATTATTGGTTTTAATATTCAATACAATATAATATTACGTCCTTTTGTATAGTTAATACTTTTTATAAATGAAGTATTGCAAAAAAAGATATCAAGAAACTAAACATGATAAAAAAGCGAAGAGAACAGCAAGGGTAAAAAAGTTAACGGACATTTTTAATATGAAACAGACTTATCAAATTTAATATTGTTGGAGAATTCGAGTCGAGCAATATAATATATATATTCTATATATAAATGCTTATAGTATATATATATGTATATATAGAATACAGAATATTTTGCCACGTTTGTCATTTTCTTTTTTTGTTCTTAAACAATCAATGAAAATACTTTTGATTCCATGTTTAATGTAATGGACGTAAAAAAAATTACCCTGAGTGGCAAGTTGAAAACATTCTTTATCATTATATTTTTTTAATTTATGGCTGCGAATGCTCGAGCTTGTATACGTCGTGATATGCATTACGTATTAGAGCATATGGGAAGCAGCTTTCTAACAGATCCATCGTTAAAAATGGTGATTCTTGGACTATTTGATCCAACAAAAGATATACGGATTCTCTATTTTTAATCGCCTCTTTGTCTGCTTCTTGACCTAGTCTAAGTAAACTGGATGATGCCAGTGCAAGGAATTCTTTCATTCGATCTTCTATATCATTTTGTCCGCAGATAGTGAATAATGCACCGAAAATATTATTTATTGCAGTTGCCATACAATGTATGTTATTAGAATGACCTTCCAATGATGCTCGATAAAAAGAATTTTCATTTCGAGCTAATTTCGGAATAGAAACAGCCACGAAAACCATTAACAAACATACGAGTAAATGTTCATCTTCATCTACTTCAGATTTTTGGCTTCTTAATGCTGCTGTTAATGTTGGATCAACTTTGCAAGTTAAACCCGCAGCTGATGTCATTTCAGAAACAACACGCATAGGATCACCAGATGGTAAATGATGTCGAAAATCTAAAATTGAACTTAAAAGGAATGGTATACGTTCTTCCAAGACATCAACCAATGCAGATTGCGCTAATTGTCTGAAACTTAATATTACACCTATAATCGTAACTCGTTGCAGTACATTATCTACCTGCTGTAATCTTTTGAATTGTTCTTTCATTACTTCTGGTTTATCAAAATTCGTTCGCAATGCAATAAGAACATCTTTGTTACCAGCAACTAATTTTTTTAGCTGTTGTACTTGACTTGCTATGTGCCACATTAAATTTTCATTCAACATCTTCATACCATATGGTCCGATTAATTCAGCTAATGCTCTCAATTCATTA